AAGTCACATCTTTGTACAGTCTCAGAAATAGTAACTGAATGAAGACTAATTCCACTTCCTTCTACCAAATCATTTCCATTGTTGTCCAGCCATGTTATATTGAGAATTTCAACTTCTATAGTCACATAACAGTTTAATGAATACAATTGACCAGCAAAAACAGGCTGACTTGAAATTATAGATACAATAAAATCAGCTAAAGATCAAAAGAAGTGTTTCAGTTTGTAGTATTATAGGCATTGCAAGTCATTGGGGCCCAGTTTTGGTTCTTATTGCACTCAAAACCATTACAATTATAATTATGCTAATTGCATTTTAATACACTCATCAAACTAATTCACTCACCAATATACACCCAGTATACTGTTGAGATGGTTTTTGGTAGTTATGTAATTATTGTTTTAAACTGTGATTTACTTTACTAACTTACAGACAACAGTCAAGAGAAAACTATCACTAGCCTCTTGATAATCATAAGTAGCAGTGTTAGGATCATTGGTATTATTAAAACCAGTTACATTAAACTCAGCCATACATGTATACATTCCAGCATCTTCAAACCTCACTGGATCCAGTATTAGAGTATAGTTAGTAACTGAACCAGTATCATCTGTTGTGATACTGTATGGTCTATTTAAGTTAGAGAGGATTTCCATATCTGTATCATTCATTTTAATGACAGTAACCATTGGTGTTACTACTAATCTCTTAACGGTTGTTATGGTACATGTTATAGTTAGACTCTGACCAAATTCAACTGAACCAACTGATGAGAAATTTACTGTCATTGGAGGAAGACCTGATGGAAAATAAGAGAAAGTAGAAAAGAAAGCAAGAGAGGGCACAAAGAACTGTAATCATTGTAGTATGTGCTACCACCTACTTTCAACAGTAACAGTATGAGTTGTACTAGCTTGACTTGATGCTATTAGTGAGTTACCAGAATTGATGATCATTTGACAGGTATATGTTCCTCCATCATTATTAAGACCAGTATCAATAGGTTGAAACAATAGCATGCTTACAAGACTAATACCAGTTGGAGGTATCACTTGATGTCTTGATTCATTAGTTGGTATTACATTACCACTAGGATCAGTCCATACTACACTAGCAGTTACTGGTGTATTCACTATTGTAGTGTTTACTGTAGCTGTACAGGTTAGTAAGTAACTTGTACTCTCATATATTGGACCAGTTGGAGGATCAGCAACTATTGATACACTGGGAGGAGATACTATGAAAGATAAATATTGCTTTAGATGATTAAATAATGAATAGAACTAACTTTGAACAGTTAATTCTTTGTTAGTACGATCTACAGTACCAAATACTAAAATTGTTGCTTGACAGTAATACTGTCTAGCATCAGTTGTCTTCACTGGATCAAGTGTAAGTACACTGGTGAATATATTTCCATTTCTAAAAACAGGTACTAGTGTAGCATCATTGTTAATACTAGTCACATCTTGAGATGCTTCTAAATCATAAGTCCATCTGACACTAGTGAGATTCTCAACAAAATTAGGAGGTACAACTATAACACAAGATAAATTAAATATACTACTAGCAACAGGAGCAGAAGGAATATTGATACTTATATCAACATGATTAATATCAAACCCTATCAAATACAATTAAAAATGGGATAAAATATAAACCACTTCCCTTACTTGCTACAGTTAATGTAACTGCACTGCTTTTATCATTCCCTGCTATTATAAAAGGAGTATTAGGAGTCACACTAACTGAACACTTGTAACTAGCACCATTATCAAGTTCATCTCTTAAACTATTAATACGTAACACACCAGTGTACTGATTATTAGTCATAACTGGAGGACTGATAGTAAAATCACTTCCATTGGTCAGTACAGTGTTTTTTCTCCTCCAGCTCATAGTAACACTAACACTAGTATCAATATATTGACTGATGTCAGCTATGCACATAATATCAAGAAACTGTCCTTCTGCTAGTTCTCCATCTACTAAATGTCCAGTAGCATTATACTCAACAATAACTGAAGGAGTTGGTACTATAAGAAACAATGATAAGTAAAGCATATTCATCTGTTTCAACATACATGTTAGTATCACTT